ACATACACATACATACACATATATATATGCAGACTTATGTGTCTGCAGATAAATAAGTCAAGTACATATACACACACATACAAAAATGATCATCATAATTCATAACCAATGGTGATACAGGCTTTTGGATCGCAAGCCATCGTAGCTATAGCGATACGAAGAAATGAAAATTCTCGTGGTAGCGGCCATCATCCATACTAATGTGTGCAAGGCCGGAGGGAGAATACTAGTAGCGCCATGTGAATGAGAGACAGCACGAGCACAGGGCTCAGAGCATGGGTGGAGGCTGCCCCAACCCTTAGCCTAAATCCCTAAGTCCGCAGGGTAGACAAGAACCGCTGTCGGGATGTTCCAGTTGGAGGGGTTTGATTGACATTGGGCGGTCGCTTTGGAGGTCCAAGCATCAAGGAGATACCTATAGTGGTTACATTTCGTCTGCAACTAACCACATCTCTCGAGTACTCCAGGTAAGTGAGGGTTGGCGCTCAGAGAATTTTAGACATCCCAAAGCTTCTCCTTGTCTGGCCCTTAGTCTCCGAGCGGCTTACAGTTCGACTAGTGGCCTCTGAAAAGATAGAGCCTTGTTGTAATAACTTTGAATTATAGTATACATTACTCAAAAGCCCTGAGAATAAGCCTTGTAGTAACCCTAGAGCGAACGGATTGGAATTTGGAGCGTGCGGATTCAGGGCTGAGCAAGGGTACGAGTATCTGTCAAGAGTTGTAATATGACAAGGACACAGGAGTACTGATTGCAAAGGGTAGAATTAAGGAGCGGTCCCGAAAGCCGTAGCTAACTGTTGCAGGTCCTCGGTGTTCTGCGCTTCGCAAGAAGGAGTCCTAGCAAAGATCTCTCGATCTAATGTAGGGGCCTTAATGATTAGAATAGGATTTTGGGGTTCTTTATTTTAACTATACTATAATTCAGTATAATATACCCCCAAGCCCTATTCTAATAATTAAGGCCCTTATATTAGGGGTGAAGGTTCCGCACTAAGGGCTCGATGCTTCGAGTGTAAGAGCTCGACTCCCTGGGGCCCCCGTGGTTAACCAAGCCCACATCGGCTCCTCGAAATAAGGGGCGCCTTATTTAGGGGTGCTTGTAATAAGCACCCTGCGATCTAGCGTTCTACACTGGATTCCTACATGTTTAGAAACCCCCACACACACACACATAGCTGTCCTGCTTCAGGCCACAAGTTTAGAACCGCGCCAATCTGTGGCCTAAACGCCTGCTATCCTAAACCCCCGATGCATAAAGCCCTCTGCCCCCTTGAACCCTGGCTGCACCTGTTTTCTCGCATGTCAATCTACAATAAACGCAGCCCGTGGCAATCGGATGAAGGTAACTTTGCCCTCCTTCAGAATGCCCCAAAGCCTCAGCTTTGTGGATGCGGGTGTAACATCGTGCTCGAGGAAGGACAGCAGTAGGACGAGCAGCAGTAGCATTTAGTAGTTTAGCGGTGATAGTTCCCGAGGTCGTCCGCGGGTGGAGGAGAAGGGTAGTCAAAGCATCGATGGGTTGTCGTAGTGGTCGGCCTGCCGAAGCGGTCACCCAACGCATCTGACCTCCACCCCCGCCCCCGCCCCCGCCCCCGCTCCTTCTCCGTCGCGCCCAATTTGACCGGCCGAAGCTGACGATGCCAAGCATTGACAACTACCACGAGGAAGACGAAGAAAAGTGACCATGAGGCACCCCCCTTAAAGCCCTCTCTCCCGGCTCTCCCGAAACCCACATCGCCAGGGCCCTCAGCTTTTATCTCGTCTCTTGAGATTCCCCCTCTATCTGCAGTAACACCACCGACAAATCCTGCCGACGGCCCCTATGAGGCCATGCAGCTCAGGTTTGGAGGAGCGCCACGGTACCGGCTCGGAGGTACTGTTGGGAATGAGAACCTGCGACTCTTTTGCGGAGCTTGGGCAGTTGCAAGTTCAGCAAGGATGGTGCTTTCAGCGGATCGTGGTCAGTCTCGCATCCTGTGTATATCAATGGGCGACCGGAGTTTTGAAGCCTCGGCAAGCAAAGGCCAGGGTTTCGAACTTCCGGGCTTGGCAGGGCGACTTAAACGGAGCTTAGATCTGTGTGTCCTGGGTCAGATAATCAGAAGCTGCGCAGCTAAAGCCGGGCCCCCCTCAATTCGGAACTGCTCTCCATCACTCCCACCCCGAACGGACCCCGACAACCTCGATGTTTGTCTCGTAGTTGGCTATGCCCCCTGCAACTGCGCGCTGCAGCCTTTCTGCCTTGGCTGGAGAGTTCAAAGCTGGGGAGTTGCGTGGAGTTTCGGGACGTATGGAGACTTGGGAATGACATCCTGGCCTTCCGCAGGTTTTGTTGGAATGCAAATGTTTGGCATGGCTTCTGGACTGCTGAATGCCTTCAAGAATCAGAATCAAATCCAGCAGCAGAAAGACAGATCATTTTCAGACGGCATTGGCCTAACACCTTGGCCCGTGAAGCCCCCTCAGAGTTGATACTAATTCCTGTTCGGGCCCCTACAACCCACGACAGGCACAGTCTATGTCTATATGCTTTGCGGCGGATCTGCTAGCCAAAGGTAGCTGTTGGATAGGAAGCGGCAGGCTTCATCCAGTTCACCACCAAAATCGTCCTCGGCTGTTGGAACATGGCGAAACCCAGTTCGCTTCTGGCCAGCAACTCTGGTTCAGACTTGTGTTGCTCTCTCCTTTCTCATGATACGACTGTGACGCTCCACGCAACAAAGACACGTGGTTTTGGAGTGGTGCTAACCGGAGACCGCTCCAACAAGAACCTAAAGGAGGTTGAAGCGCACTGGCCACCTCAAAACCATATACGCCACTAGGACCTGAACCCCGAAACCGAAACCGCGCTACCTTTCCAAAAACGAAACTGCTACCTTTCCAACTGTGCCCGGGTGGCAGTGTCTAGAAGCCGATCGGGCTCGGCACGCAGCGCCCCGGCATCCCCCAGACAACCATCCTCCGGCAGGGACAGACTGTTGCCATAACTATAGCGAGCACGTCTGGAGCTACCAGTACTTGTATGACATGTTGCCACAATGCCTATTTATCGTTAATTTTCATTTGCATGGGTCTAGCAGTGCTTGGAGTTCTGCCTGAACGAGTGATCGTTCTCCTCATGATGCACCGGTACCTTATTCCTATATTCACTGTGCTAAGTATACTTACTAGTGCTGCGATGAATGCTGGTTAGTGCTCATCTGAGTAGTTTTATACCTTTGCGATCGTAAAGAGTAGCTATAGTGTAGGCTGGTCAATGCCGTTTCAGGAAATTAAACAAGTGGATGGTGCTGATGATGATGATGATGGTGATGATGATGATGATGATGATTATGATGTTGATGATGTTGATGATGATGGATGAGGATGAGGATGAAGGTGAGGATGAGGAAGAGGATGAGGATGATGATGATGACAATGATGATGATGATGATGGGGATGGCGATGGTGATGGCGATGGTGCCGATCAGAAACTTGGTGTTTGTGACGCGCATGATGCTGATTTTCATTCACAAGGTCACTGGTTTAGGGTTCTGGGGCTCGGAGTCTCCAGAGGGACGCCTAAATAAACCCCTCAGCCTTCTCCAGAAGGATGCCTAAAACCCACGTGAAGAAGCATCTCACCGCCCCGGTGGAGCCCTGAAGATCTCCACGGCCCGCAGGCGGCACAGCGCCGCTCCCCAGTTCGGTCCTCGAGCACGGCAAAGAAAACGTCCGACAACCTCAGGCTGCAGGGCTCTTTCCGAGCACTTTTTGAGGGATCATGAACTCTTGAAGAGCCCTTTTCCTCTCAGGGTTCTGCAAAAGTACTACAGTAAGGGTTAATATAGGGTACCGTAGTCAGCGAGTAGCAAGCAGGTCTTCGCTTTGAAGTTAGAAGCTTGGATTCACTCAGCCAGGAGCAGTGGGGAGCAGCTCTGAAAAGAAGTGAGCCCAGAACCGTCACATGCTTCACTCCTGCCAAGACTCCATCTCAGAGCCTGCCAACAACTCGAAACCCATCAGTGCCACCCCAACGCACCAGGACCGAAACTGCCCCTCCGGTACCCTGAACCTCAAAACCCTGAAAGCCATGAAGGCCCTAAAACGTGAACCCCTAAACCCTAAAGGGTATACCGTGGTGGACACAAATTGGCTAGAACAGCGAAGCTCTGCCCCCCGCGCCAAAGGACGGTGACGCGCCGAAGCTTCGCCCAGCCATGACCTCTTCATGGTCCCGGCTGAAACCGGCCAAGTTCAACTCTCCGAGCCTGGGTGTCGGGTTTGGGGTTTTGAGGTTTAGGGGTTTCGGTGTGCAGGTCTCAGACGGTTTCGTTTCGGATTGAGGATTTGAGGTGAGGTCTTTGCTAAAGGGATTTGGGGCCTTGGGGCTTTGTGCTTCGCGGTCTTTGGGCTCGAGGGCAACAGGGATAAAGGCTCTACAGATTTTGGGAATGTGGGGTCAGAATAACTCTGCAGGAATAATCATCTTCCCAGAAGATCCCTACATATTTGAAGTATCACATGCCTCCAAAACCCTATTCTAATTCTTACTCGGGTCCGAGGTTACTCCTTCCAATTGTGGGCAAAGGACTCCATGGCGGGAGAGTTTGGTTTAAAAACCAGCTTCTCGATTTGAGTCCAGAGACAGCTTGTGGCCATATCTCATGTGCCTGCCAGGACGAAACTTTGCGAGGAGCTTTCTGACACAATTACGTTCAATAGCTTCCGATCCTGACCACTGCAAGTTAGGTTAAGCCACTTCGCTAGGTATGAAGAACATGATACATATGTGCAGTGTGAGAAACGATTCTGGACCTCCTCGAGACGAATTGGCTCGCCAGAAATTCGTGCCTGATTGTTTCTGATTGTTTTGTGCCGGAGAAGGCCGGAGACATAATCCGTCTTACTGTCCGCCTGTCCGCCAGTTTCTGAAAACCTTGAAGTCAGGTCTGGACGAGGCCAGGTGGTCGGGACATGAGACCGATACGATGAAGCTTTGGGAGCTTTGCAGCGTGATTGCGCACGGGTCCCTGCCCCCTTGTGCCTCTTACAACCCTCGCGCATCCACGAGACATCCGAGCAAGTGTAGTTGCCTCCAGCTTTCGACGCCGAGGATCGTCACGTCGCAGTAAAACCTTGAAGCAACTGAGCTCCGATGTCAAGTAACATAGCTCTCTGCAGCTGAGCTCTGCGGCTGCCCGGAGGAATCAAGAAAAGCAGAGTCTCACCGAGCTCTGGAAGCTCCGCGCGACAGCTGTTGTATGTGGTAAACTGTCGCCAGGGGGCCCTGAGACGTACGGGTCACCGGCGATCGTCGTCCCGGAGAGATACTCCTCCGGAAACACAGCGTGCGTGGATGGTGGAGGGAGCTTTGTGTCATCGAGAATGCCTGGAAAGGGCATCTTGATACTCAACAAAGGAGCTTAGGGATGCCTGCCACAGCTGCGTGGGATGATGCACAATGCGTCCGAAAGTCATTCCCGTCTGCAGCCTGCAGCCTCGTGTCCCGGAACCCAGGCAGCCCTGTCCTCAATGCTGAGGAGAGCCATGCGCTTGCCATACTTGGTGCCCACGATCTCGTCGGACTTTCCTATTGCAGCCGTGGCTGAAAATACTCGAACCCCAAGCCTGATTCCTGCCGGCGTCTGAGAAAACGCATGCTCTCCAAAGGCCTAAAGCCTTCGTGCCCAGTGTACTCACAGAAGCATGGGGCAGTAGAGGTCGAAATATGCACTGGTCTACCAAGCGCCAAGCCGAGCATCTGAGCTGACTGTAAAGTCCGGGTGCACCCTCCAGAATAATGGTTGTGACGCCCATGTACGTGAGGTGAAACCTGAGAGAACAAGGCCAGGGATGCGTAGGAGATGAGCGCCCGGAAGGTGTGCAAGCCTTTGTGTTCACCTTGCTTTGCCCAAACGCGCCCACATGCAACCCTATCGGCCAAAGAATCGCAGCTCCCCAGGTGCCTGCGAGCCTCGTACTGACCGGACAGTAGTCAAGGAGCAGGAGGGCATCCAGAAGCAGTGCTTGTCGGTCTCCGATCCCAACCACGCAAAGGTGAATGCTTGCCAGGCCCCCATAGTTGTGGCTTGCAAAAAGCTGCTGGAAACTCCTGAAGTCCGCATATTCCTTATTTCTTCTCTGGGCATAGAGGCTGCAGAAATGGGGCCCAAGTTCTTGAAAGGCCGGATAAGTTGCAGTCAGGTGCGCTTCAACAGTATGTGCAATGACCCATATGCCCTAGCTTACATCAGAACCGCACGATGGCATCGATACGAGTTTCATGTCACTCGTCGGCCTACCCGAAACCTTGAACCCCAACCCCAGCCTAAATGCCAGAATCTATGCACACTGAGCCCTAAACCCTCAACCCCTAAACCCTTAAACCCCAAAACAAACCCTGAGGCCCACAACAAATGCACAGCCATGGCACAGGCTGGCTCGCAAAGACGCTTGCCTTTCCGTCCAGGACCTTTTGGGTGTTCCACGAGTCACCCTACTACTGTACTTTAGGGATTAGTGTGTAGAGTAGTATAACGCTAGACCCTAACCCGTATATTCAATGCATTGCATGCTTAAACTCAACACGAAACCCTTGAACCGATGCAGCTCTGATTTTCCAAATCCTTGGCGGAGCACGAAGGCTGGCAAACGCACGACTCGTAAATCATCAACCCCGTACGTCTAGATGGCAAAGGCTTGAAAAGGATCTGCACACTCTAAACACGTTGCCCGGCGTGAGTCATCCTTGCAATTCCTGTCAAGCTGATCAGCTTTGCTGGTATCTAACTGAGAACCTTGTAATGTGCGCAGCTCTCCTCAAGTCAGGATAATCGGTACAAGAGATCCACAGCCCAAGGCCGATCCATAAGTCGGCTTTGAACTGATTTCCGGCTTCAGCTCGGTTTGGAGTGGGTTTGCGAGGTAGTGCATCGAAGTAAAAGGCAAGACACACAACAAAGTACACTGCTAACCAAGGCATAGACTACGGTAAAGACCAGTACATTGCAACCCATGAATTTTCGTAGACGACAATATCCTGGACCGTGGGCAGCCTGTGTCTTGCATGTATGCATGGAGGCATGGGTATATGCATATATTCGTGCTTCGCTATACCGGTACCTCTGTACCTATATCAACATCCATCAACATGCAGCATTGGCTGGTATAAACAAACAAGCGAAAAAATACATACACCATACTTCCGTATACAGAATGCAGTACTGCTGCTGAACTACCATAGCTATTGCAACGAAACGCAAGAGTCCCGAGCACGTCGAGCAGCACGTAAGCCAGCAAGTGCCAACAGTGCTGTAACGAAAACACAGCTGGCTGCTGCGCCGCCCAGGGAGTTTAGACTTGTCGCAAACAATGCCTATGCTGTCTACGGTAAGGCTACAAATGGTATCTGAGGCAACACCCTCAGCCAAACATTCAAAAGACCACCCATGTGATATCTTGAGCGAACGGAACATGAATGAGCCAAGGTGAGCAGACATAGTCAGACTGAAGTTAAAAAATGCTAGACAGACACTTTTACAAGCACAGCTGTCAATCCTGTGTACCCAGCACTTTACGTATACATACATGTACATATACATATACGTATACAGTTATGTATATGTACATATACATATCCATATAGAGATACATATACATATACATAGGCCTAGGCGTAGGCCTAGGCATAGGCTAGGCATAGACTAGGCATAGGCTTGGGCGGCTTCAAGAGCTACAAACTGGAACAGTAGTTTCAAGTGTCAGAAATTTCATCTGGTATCTGATTTGGCGGAAAAGGCTGAAATTCAGAGGGATATGTTGTGGAAGAAAATCAAAAATAATTAATTCATTGATTCGTTTAATATATCATTAACTCAGTCATTAGTTAGTAACTAACTAATTACTTACTTACTTAGTTACTTACTGTTTGTATTTAATAACTAGTTAATGGCTCAGTCAATTATTTGACTAATTAATTAATTGATTAAGTAGGGTTAATGAATTAATTAATTAATTAATTAATTAATTGATTGACTGACTGATAAATTTTAAAAAATTACATATGTATATATATATACATAGTTGTATATATATATATATATATATACATAGTTGTATATATGTATATATATATATGATGCATCTAGCTGTCGAAAGTTCGGGAGAAGTCTGACGCTCTACTATCATCCCATGCGGGAGACTCGAATAAGTCAGTCTCGTCTCGAAGAAGATACCTCAAAAACAAACTATGACTGCGAGCCGATATTATTCAATCATCTAGATCAAGCACAAACTGGGGAGCGATCGGGGGCCCCACTTCTCGCAAGTAGTCGGCACGCTGCGCATCCGCCTGTCCGCTCCTGGGCTCAAAAGCTCCATCAAATGCGGCTCAATGATATTAGAGGTCATACAGAGGCTTTAGAACCTTTGTTTGAGGACCTTTCCCTGAGCTTCGATCTCGTTCATCCAGGAGGGTTATTCACCTTAGAGTAATGCCGTTTAGAGTTTAGGGCAAATACTAGTTGAGAGTTTACGGAGATCATTTCATAAACTGTTGACGCAAGGAATACGGGCAAGCCAATATTGACGAAGCCTCGTGAAACACATGTTGAAGACGATGGCGATGAGGTAAAGGTGATGCTGGAGCTGAGAATGGTGCTGGTCATGTTGACCCAGAGAAGATGGCAAAGATGATGATGCCGTCGACGATGAGGCTGTAGCAATGAAGATGATGCGAACTGACGACGAGGGAGAAAGCTGGCTTCCAGACAGTGGTTGTGGCGGTGGAGATGAGTAGTGATGGTGTTGATGATGAAAATGGAGATGATGGGAACAAAAATCTAGAGCAACAAGTTGAGGGTGATGACCATGATGTCATGATGCTGGTAGCGGTCATGATGATGCTGCCCGCCAGGTCCCGTGATGCTTTCTGAGTGCTCTGGACATCACGATCTACCATGGCCCTTTTCAGCCACCGTGATGAATGCGAACATGTTCTCTAGCAAGACTCGGGCTACGTCTGCTAGAGCTACTACAACCAAGGGATGTGATGGCCGACGTTTGTACCATCATCTTGTCCTGCTTTTTATGCACCATCACTGACCATTGACTTCATACCAGCATGTCCCACCACCATCGTCACCATAATCAAGATCACAACAACGCAAGCATCAGATTAGTCTTCTTCGTTTCGGCATGTTGCTGTCACTACTCGATTGCCTCGTCCGTAGTTAGGAGTAAGGGTCCGGCTTTTGATTACATCGTTTACGACACATACATTTCCCGATTCCGACAGCTGTCACAGCTGCAACCTTCTTAAGCCCTGAGCTGATGGCACCTGCCGCGGCAGTCTCATGACATCAGGCCAGTTAACCAGAGCTGAGGATCAGGTGGAGGATGAACAATCCTTTTTCCGAAGGGCCAGGTACCTTCAGGGCTCTGTGATCACTTGGTCCGGCCGACATCTTCCCTGGCTTAGCCCGAAAAAGAGCCCCCGGAAGTTCGAAGGTTTGCAAAGTTGAGGCATGCAAGAGAGCTCCATGAATTCAGAGCTCAGTTGAATCTGTCAAATCAAACTTTCAGGGCTTCAGGTCTGGAGCTTCAAGACTGGACTGCGGGCTCTATTATATATCTCGATATATCTCCAGGTTCTCTCTCTCTCTCTCTCTC